CCTTGGGCCACAAATAATGTTGCCATGTTTCTAAGGCCCTCTTTAGAGCATAAAGCTCTTTGTCATAGGTGGAATAATTCAAAGCTGCGCCGTGAAGCTTTTCACTGAAGTAAGCTATGGGCTTAGAATCCTGCATTAAAACAGCACCTATACCAATACCAGAAGCATCACATTGAATTTCAAATGCTTTAGAGAAATTAGGCAAAACAAGTAAAGGGGCATTAGTCAATTTATCCTTTAGGGTTTGGAAGGCCCTTTCTTGTGTTTTATCCCATTTAAAGGTCACATTCTTCTTAACAAGTTCATTAAGAGGGGCAGCAATGCTAGAGAAATCCCTAACAAATCTCCTATAGAAGCTTGCTAAGCCATGGAAGCTTCTCACTTCACTTGCATTCTTAGGGGTTGGCCATTCACGAATAGCCTTAACTTTCTCCTCATCTACACGAATTCCCTGTGATCCAACAACAAATCCCAAAAAGATAACAGAGTCCATGCAAAAGAAACACTTTTGAAAATTAGCATATAATTTATATTCCCTCAAGATGTCAAACACATTTTTAAGATGATTCATATGATCAGTCAAAGATTTACTATAAATCAAAATATCATCAAAGTAAACCACAACAAACTTGCCTATAAACTTTCTAAAAACATGATTCATTAATGCCATAAAAGTGCTAGGAGCATTAGTCAAACCAAAAGGCATAACTAACCATTCGTATAATCCAAATTTAGTTTTAAAGGCAGTTTTCCATTCATCACCCTCTTTCATACGAATTTGATGATAACCACTTCTAAGATCAATTTTAGAAAAGATAGAAGCACCATGTAATTCATCAAGCATATCATCAAGTCTAGGGATAGGGTAACGATACTTTACAGTGATTTTGTTGATTGCTCTACAATCAACACACATCCTCCAAGATCCGTCTTTTTTTGGCACCAAGATAACAGGGACAGCACAAGGCTAAGGCTCTCACGCACAAAGCCTTTCATCATCAATTCCTCTACTTGGCGCTGGATCTCCTTAGTCTCTTCAGGGTTAGCCCTATAAGCAGGCTTGTTTGAATAGCAGCTCCAGGCAAGAAATCTATCCTATGCTCAATTCCTCTTAAGGGAGGAAGTCCATCAGGAATTTCATCAGGGAATAGATCTCTATAATCCTGCAACAAAGAGACAACACTAGAAGGCAAAGTGGGGTCAAAAGTATTAGTAGAAAAATAAATATTCTTGGGAATTACAATAAGAGCTTGCTCACTCATCAAAGCCTCTTGAATCTTACTTTTCCCACACAATAATATTTTTTTTTCACTATTTTCCTTCACTCCCACCATTCTATTTTTTTCTTTTCTCACCTTCTCACCACTCTTTTTCCTCTCTTTTGATTGATTTTCAAGTAAAGTAATACTCTCTTTCTTTTCTCTCTCACTCATGCCACAATCAAGGAGATCTCTCCTTTGCTTGTAATCTTGAGTAATCTTTAGTTGATCTTCATAGGCTTGGATGGGCCTAAGAGGATTTAATACAACAGTCTTGCCTTTAAAAGGCACCTTGTAACAATTTCTAAAACCATCATGAGTAGCCTTACTATCAAACTGCCAAGGCCTACCTAATAACAAGTGTCCAGCAAGCATAGGGGCTACATCACATAATACATCACAAGTATAAACTCCAACAGAGAAAGTAATCAACACTTGCTTAGAAACCCTAATTTCAGCAGAATCATTCAACCATTGCAATTTGTAGGGCTTAGGGTGTGGGATTAAAGGTAAAGATAATTTATCTACAAGTAAAGTGCTAGCGACGTTAGTGCAACTACCACCATCAATTACCATGCTACACACTTTCTCTTTGATGAAGCATCTAGTGTGAAAAATATGCTCGCGTTGCTCATGTTCATCATCCTCCTTTGGTTGAATATTGAGAGCTCTTCTTGCCACCAAGATAGAGTCAACTACACCATTGCATTCAAGCTCATCATTTGATTCATGGGAGGTAGAATCATCATCAACATTATCAGCATCATCTTTATCACTTTCATGCACACTATCATAGCCACCATCATCTCTCAAGATCATAACCCTTTTATTGCTACAATCTCTCGCCATGTGGCCCACACCATGACATTTGAAACACTTAATAGGAGAAGATGAATAAGAAGAAGGTTTAGGGTTAGAAGTTTTACCCTCATACTTGGTCTTTATTTCTTCCTTGGCTTGGGATGTATCTTTGGCTTTGGAATCCTTCCATTTGGAAGTTGTCTTGGAGTCTTTCCAAGAGGACTTGGAACGTTTGTTCTTATTTCTCTGCTCCAACTTTATAGCCTTGTGTATGAGCTCTTCCTTGTCCACAAAAGTGTACAAGTCAAGCTTATCTCTCAACTCTGGCCTCAAGCCATCCATAATTCTTGACATTGCTTCACGTTCATTTTCTTGAATGTTTGCACGAAACTTCAAGATATTCAACTCGTGCACATACTCCTCCACTGTCATAGATCCTTGAGAAAACATTCTCAATTTTCTATTCAGCTCTGTATAGTAGTAGCTGGGGACATAAGCCTTTCTCAAGTACCTTTTAAGCTTCTCCCACGTTTTAATGGGCTTTTTCCCAAGTTGGCTTCTTTTGTACTGTAAATCTTGCCACCAATAAACAGCATAGTCAGTGAAATTCAAAGAAGCAGTTTTTACCTTCCTTGACTCAGACAAATCAAGAGTCATGAAGATTTGGTCCATCTTCATTTCCCAATCAAGGTATTTTTCTGGATTGTTGCTTCCCTTGAATGAAGGATACTTTACTTTTTGGTCCGGTAAGTCAACACCACGCTTTAAGGATTTCTTTCCCTTAGGAGAAGGGGGTTCTTCATACTCCTCATCATCGCTGGGGATCTTATGCTTCTTTCCTTTAGAAGAGGAAGTCTCCGGCTCATCTTTATCCTCTTTATGGAACCTATGATCAAGTTCCAAGCGAAACTGCTGCAACTGTGTTTTGATAAGTTCTAAAACAGAGTTCATATCAATACTAGGGGATTCATCCTTGTTACTCATGTTCACAGAAGCACTAGAAACCATATAAGATAAAAATAGGTCCTCACACACACAAACTCACGTGTTTACTCTCAAGATAAAGTCACTCGTGTTTCACACAAAAAAAAAGTAATGGCTTTTTTTTTAATGATGAAAAACACACTTGCCTTTTACCACTCACTAAGCTTGTGGATAGAATCCAATGGTGAAACCCACAAATCAAGAAACTAAGGAACAATCAAGTGAATATCTTCTAAATTAAGGAAACTAGAAAACAAGCACAAGGTGAAAAGAGGATTTTTTTTTTTTGCAATTTTGAAACAAATAGGAAAGCAAAATTTTCAAATAAAATTAAGCTTATTAAAGGAAAAACCACACGTGACAACAAAAAAATAAGAAAAAAAGAAGTAAAAGTCAAAGAGTCAAATACTCAAAGACAAAAATAAAAAAAACTAAATAAAATAAGAGAGTAGCACAAATAGCAAATAAGAGAGTAGAGAATTTGAAAAGTGCTACCAAAAATAAAAAATAAGAAAGTGATCAACGTAAAAGACTTTCTTATCACCCAAGTTGACTTTTCTCTTTAAGCAACCTCTTGGTGACTTGGAGTTCAAGAATAGCCTTTTTCTACAGTCATAACTCACAGCAATATATTTTTTTTTGTAAATTTTTTTTTTGAATTTTCGGATTTTTTTTTCTCTTTTTTTTTCTCAACACACTAACACTTTTTTTTTTGCCTTTTTTTTGCACGAATTTCTAGGTATTTTTTTTCTTTTTTTTTTGAGAAGGCTAATAAAATGAAAACTCACATAAGATAAAAGTCACAAAGATGAAGAAGAGAAAAACCAAAAGATAGAAGTAGATGGGGTAGATAAGAGATGATCACAAAAAGAAATAACTCAAGATGAAAAAGAAGAAGGAAGGACAAGAATTTAAACCAAAACTAGCAACCAAAGCTCTGATACCAATCTGATAGGGACGCGGAAGCAGAATCGTGCTAGTTTAGGGACAGAACCCTGAAACAACAAAAACACAAGAACAAAAAGAAAGGGACGAAATTTATGACGGAAATAAAGAAAGGTATGAAGTAAACAATAGGATAATGATCAAGGAGAAGATCCTCTAGAGCACCTGCCTCTAGGAACCTCAACCTTCGAAGACACCACAAGAGTTGATCACGCTCTTGATCACGTCGGTTTCTCACACAGGATACCACCACAAAGCACTAAGGCTCACAAGAGTTATAAACTCTAAAATGAATAATTTCATTCAACTTCTGTGTCGTTTACAATAGGGAGCATGCCTAATTTATATAGGCTCATAGAAAAATATTTTCTAAAATTAAAACCCTAATTTCCTAATACTAAAAGGAGAAATAATGATAAAATATTCAGCCACATAATTTAGGAGATGTGATCCTAAAATTATGGGATTACAAAATTTAGAAATTAATATTATAATTAATTCTAACCTTTGACTAGACTCAAAATAGAAAATCAATCAAAGGACCATTAAAATAGGAAATAATTTAGGAGACAATCAAGGGATGATAAAGGATTTGAAATCACGCCACTCTTGACTTCTTTACTAGGGTTTCATGCCTCCTTGCATGCAAGAGGCTCAACTTGTAGTCTTCCTTGCATTGGGCTAAGGTCTGCATCTCTTGGGCTTGACTCTTCATGAGTTTGGATCTTAAATACATTATACACATATAGATGCTCTCCTTTGGACTTGAGGGGAGTGCCCCAATGCTCTCCAAGCTCTTGAACTTCTTGCACAAGACTGAACAAGGCTTGCTTCATGGCTTTGGTTCGGGCTCTTGTCATTGGACCTCCAATATGTTCCAATGGGTCTTTAGGTACGTTGGATTGGAAGTATTGGGCTCCTTCTATGTCACCATGCTCATGATTACCATCCTCAGGCTTCGTTGCCATTAATGCTATGTCACCCGTGCCATGGGGTCCATCAAGCAATGAATTAGCCTGTGTCTCTACTTCAACGAACTTAACAATCCCACCATGGAAGTATCATGTCTTCTTGAGTTTCAGAGGAGAAGACACACGCAGAGACTTCACAGCTGAGTTACACAATGCTCTGAAAGAAAGGTGTATCAGAACTTTCATAGATTATGATATAAGGAAAGGGAAAGATATCAGCCCAGAACTGATTCAAGCAATTGAAGAGTCTCTCTGTGCCATTATCATATTCTCTAAGGATTACGCTGCTTCAACTTGGTGTTTGGATGAGCTCTCAAAGATTGTTGACTGTAAAAAGGCTTGGAGCTGATTCGTTTTCCCAGTGTTCTATAACGTAGATCCATCTGATGTACGACATCAAAGAGGAACTTTTGCTGCTGCGTTTCAACAACATTGTGAGATATTTACTCAAGAACAGGTGCAAAAATGGAGAAATGACTTGAAAGAAGTGGCAAATATAAGTGGCTATCATTGGATTGATGGGTAAGTTCAATTTCTTTGCTTGATTATATATGCCTTCTCTGATTAATTACCTCAGCAATGTTGTAGTGATGTTTTTCTTTAAAAAAAAATGAACTGAAAAATGAATGCCATCCTAAGAAAATAGAAAAAATTCTAGAATTTTTTTGGGAAATATATGATATTTTCAATTTTGATAGTAAAGGGTTTTTTGTTTTTTTTTTTTTTGTTTTTGCCGTTTCAAAATCCAATTAATATTTATTATTTGAAGTGCTGTTTCATGCATTCATTGGAAGGGGGAATTTTAGCAATTGACTTGGGAAACAATATTTTTCAATGGAATCATAATATCTCCCTCTTTTTAGTCATCTAATAATAATATCTCCTTGATTTATTTAATTTATTGGCTTTGTATATTATCTTTTAATATTTTGCATTATTTCAAAAAAAAAAAATTGGACATCTATGTATATCTAGATTATCTCTTCATTATCTCTGCTTATCCAGATTATACAGTTTATATTTTAGGATTAGGATTAGCGTTTGAATTTTTTTTATTCAACTAGGATTCTATAAATAGCCCTATATGTAGGATTTTTTTTATTGTAACAACCTTTGATTAATTCAATAAAAAAGTTGGGTATTTTTTTATGCCTTCCTCTTCTTCAATTTTGTTCGGACATATATAATATTTCTCCGAATTTCATATATGCAAGTATTACATAATTCCTAAATTTCATCCTTGTAGGAATAAAGAGAACAACATTAGAAAAATCGTTACAGGAGTATGGGTAAGATTATACGGCATTATTGCTCGTAGTATTATATTATCTATTTTAACGTGCAGTTTTGTTGACCAAAAGAAAGGAACTCATTATATTTGACCCTTGGAAAACTATAGTCAACTATGATCAACTATTATCATAGGTCAATACCATTAATCACCAGCAACCCCCACTATTGATTGATTTTTTTATTTTAAAACAGTTTTTCTTTTGTTTTGTTTTAAAAAATAATTTTGAAAAAGTGATTTACAAAATGATTTTAAAAAATAAAAAATAGAACAAAATAAAACAACGCCTTGACCTCTCATTCAATAATAGTAACCCAAAAAGGGCCAAAGCAAGTGGGACAAACTTAGTTCGCGTGCATGTACTTTGTTCATTATTTATCTTAATTTTTATATATCAATTTTGAACTATCACATTCACTTCCCATCTCAAGATTTAGTTTTGATCAAATCTTTCAAGCAAGACTTGAATACTTGATTCCTTGCCTTAGATTCTTATTTTGCCCCCTTTTACTTGTCTAATTTTGGAGACTAATCCAATCAAATGATATACCCCAACTTCAAAGAGATAGTCAAGTGTTTATTATTATTATTTTTTAAATAGTTTTACTGCAGCTTAATTGGTGGCAGACCCAACTAAGTTTTTTTTAAAAAAATTAAGATATGGCTTTCGAAGTTCAACACTGAAATGAACATGAGTGGACAGTTAAAAATAAAACAATTCTCCTATTTTGCCTAATTAATTTCGCATATTGATCAGTTATAAACTACGTATTCGAAAAATTCAGGGGCAGATCAGTCAAATACCATTTGTACTTCGAAAGTTGAAACATGAAGAAGTTATCAAGGGGGTGGGACATCCTCAAGCGATAAATTTTCTGTTTGACCTTGACCTCTCTGGTAAGGTAATATCTTATTTTTTATTTCTAATTTGACAAAGAATTTTTGTACTTGCAACATACTCACTTCTAGGTCTTTATATATAGGTGTGTCAGGATATTTTTGTCCCTAATAGTGTCGATTAATATTATGGTGATAATAGGTAAAACACACAATTAATATATCTTCCCTTTCTATTGCAATATACTCAAGCTATAACCCACTCAATTATGGAGTTTCAGAGTTTGCCATTCATGGATTTCAGCTATGCTGGTTTTAAAGATGTTAGAATGGTGCAAACAAACCTAGATTGCACAAAATTTTTGGTAAGTAAAATTCTCAAAATACTTAGAACCTGTTTGATTATTATTTTTTTAGAAGAGTTTTCTTTTGAAAAAAAAACATAAAAAAAAGCATGTTTGTAAATATGTTTTCTGCTATATCTATTTTGAAAAATAAAAATTTAAAAATTATTCTGAAAAATTAAAAAAAATAGAATATTTTGTTGATATTTTGTTATTTTTTGCTCTGCAGAATAAGAGAAAAGGCAAGAAACATAATGATTTCATTAATGACAATTATCTCAATAAAATAATAATTATTATTATTTTAAATTCTTTCACCACTTTATATTTTTTTAAAATAATGATTCAAACATATTTTTTTCATTTTTTTTGTTTCCAAAACTTGTTCAAAAAAATTACTCTACATAATTGTTTTAAGAACATAAAAACAGAAAATAGATCAAACAAGCTCTTATTCTCTCCATATCTATTGTTACTTGATGTTATGAGATACACACACAGATATATATTAAGAAATATCTTTCTTATAGTTTAAGAATTAACTACCATCCCAAGTTTATTTGTCAGGATGTTAATGTTGAAGAATGCATTTTCGACTGTTCAAATTTCCCTCGGTAAGGGACTCAGATCAATACTTCCAAAATTTTCATCATGATCGATTTTACTAGTCTCTTACCTTATCCATCTTGCCCTTGCCTCTGTAAAGATGTCAATTTAATCGAGCCACTTTTCGTAGAGTTTCACTGAATAATGCTGCTCTTCAGAACTCAAAACTAGAAGGCACGTTAAACTCTACATTATAGTTTTTACATCTTCCTAAATACATATGTGACAGTGAGAACTATACTACTGATGCTAAGAACTATTCCTTTGCATTAATGCAGATGCTTGCTTGATAAAATGTTCCTTAGTTGGAGCAGTCCTGACTTCTGCAATTCTTAAGGTTCACCACCAGATCATTAATTGTATATACTTGATTAATTTTTTTGAGTGAAAACTATAATCTAATAATCACATAATCTAAAGTACAACCATCACGAAATAGAAAAACAAGAGAGGGTTAATCTTTCATCATTCGCCACCTCTTGGAGAAAAGGTGGAGATTGATCAAAGATTGTTTAATTCTCTAGATAAAGGAGATTAGTAGAATATATACAAGACAATGTGGATATAAGGATGACATGGAGTCGAGATTTCCTTTTGAGAATGTTGATCGCTTCAGCACAATCAGAGAAAACTTCAACCTTTTGAAACCCTCTTTCCCAACAAATCTTTAATCCTCTAGCAATGCCAAGTATTTCAAATATAGCAGGCGGATATTGGGACAATTTATTTTAAAAGTAGTTGCCAAGCATGCATTGCAATTCATGTTGGTTGTCCACCCACTCATCAGGATCATTTTTTAGGGCCTCAATTCTATTTCTTCTCATCCTCATCTTGACATTTGTATGGAAAGTTATTATTTGTTGTATTCTTTCCAGAGCGCCCTCTCAAGTTGTTGCAAATACTGGTTGTCTCTCTGTTTTCTAGAATTATCAATACATGCAGCTAGCATCTTGAGTAGACTCCATTTCTTGTATGGAATATCACTACAACATTTTTTCCCTTTAGGATATTTAAAAAATGTAGTAAAAACTATGAAAATTGTTACTCTTAATTGTTGCCGAACGTAGCATAACTAAAAAAGTCTGTGGCAATAGTTTCTCACTCTATGGTGGCATTTCATTAAAACTGTTGCCTAAACTATGAGAATATGCTATACTTACTATCTAACTATAAACAATAGTTTCGAAATGTTTTTATCAATAGGCAAGATTTAAGAATTATTTCAAAATTGTTATATACCCAAAATTTAATATTTCTTTTCCATCTAAGATTTGACCCTTGAACCTATTGAAAGGAAGGGGTGATTTTAATCACTCTTCCAACTTGAAAATTGTTGTTTATTCTACTTTAAGAAACAATTTTCAAATGTAGCCAAATATTTGTTGCTTAAAGTAGTAATCAATAGAAAGATATGAAAACCGTTGCTTATGCCCCCATTAGGAAAACACTTTTAAAATTGTTGTAAAGAAAACTGTTGCCTAAAGAAAAAAAAATGTCGTAGTGAACATTCTGAACCCTATTTATGCCCCAAACCAGAGCTTGATTCGCAAAGTTATTGACATTGTCATTCCAGTTATAGAATCTCTTAGAAAATCATATTCAAGGGGCCAAGGAGCTTAACATTTGAACATTCTTATTTTAGGGTGGGGGCAGTACTTGAAAAATCTCTAAGAAAAAGCGACCAATGAACAGAGCAACGCCAAATTAAATGGAAAACTTTAAAGTTTAGGAAGGCCAACTGCTATTAGAAAAAGCCCAATCAATCTTGTCCTTAACACAATTTTTTCGCATGCGAACCAGTCACCCGCAGAATCTACCTTAAACAAATGAGCCTTATGAATACCCATCCACTGGGTATTTTTGTTTGAACCCATTATGGGGCAATCGACAAGCGTTGTCCCTGATCAAAAAGGGCTATAATCGCTTAAACATGATGTACTGGGTTTGAATGGATTAATGTCAACTAAATACTTAAAATAAAACTTAGAATGATTTCATCCGTGAAAGGTATAAGTGTTTACTAATATGTTATTATTATACTTTCATCTGCTCAGAATGCAGTTCTTTGTGATGTCAATTTAGAAGGAGCCATCCTCAAAGGAGCTAATTTAGAGGTAAAGTATTATTGTTTTAAAATATTTGAATGATGAAAAATTTCTTGGGTATCCTATAGACTTAGTTTGATGGAGTGCCAGGGTGCAAAGTTGTACAATCCTAACTTGAAGGCTGCAAATCTTGAAGGAGCCAATCTTCCATATGTTAACCTTTCAGATATGGTAAGTTGATTAGCTAATAATTAATGAAAGAAGAAGAATATTAGATACTTGCTTATACATTCCTTGTGATGACATTGATTGTGTGGAATTTCAGGATTTACGTGATGTGAATTTCAACTTTGCATGTCTTGAACATGTCTCATTTTTACGTGCAAACCTTTTATGTGGAAAGTTCCGGGTAATTATTCTTGAATGGTAGTTGCTACATATGACCATTTAATATTCTACTTGTGAAATATGTGTGTGTCTACATATCGATACTTTTAGTTCAATGCGACATTACATACAAGTTTCCTTTATTCTCATGTTATTTAACCTAAAACCTATCGTGTTTGATAGCATGTTAATGCCAAGGGCTCCATCTTTGACTTTGCAAATTTGCGTCGGTAAGTTGCTTGCAGACACTTGTTTTATAATTGCACTAGTGTCTCAGGCCTCGGATATAATAATTAACTTGCTTTATTTGACCATGGAAAGATGTGAATTTAACAAGGCAAATCTACATGGAGCTTCATTAAAATTTGCCATCCTTGAGCATGCAAATCTAAATGGTATGTTGATGTATGTTTTCAATGATTTTGTCTATCAAATATAAGTGACAAATATATATGGTGGACTTAGCTTGGATTTCATAGGCTTAACTCATGATCATATAAACTTCTTTTAGGCTTTGTTTGGAATGGAAAGAAAACAGGGAGGATGGAAAATTAGAAGAGAAAACTAGAGAAAATAATATTTTCCCCTAATTTTTCCCTAGAGGGAAAACTAAAACTTCATGCTAGTAAAGAAAAATATATTTTTCTTCCACTTTTTTTTCCTGATTTTCTTTCCTTATTTTTTCCCATTCTAAATAAGAGGGTAATGCTTGATCATTAGCTGAACAAAATATGTCTCTTCGCTTCCAACAAAAAGGAGTGACAAAGAATGTACTCTTGCACTTTGAGACTAAATAATTAAACTGATCAAAGCTCTGCGTCATAGTGCATAAAAGTCATTTGAAATGCCGAATTTACTAGAACAATGATATATCATATATAACTGTAAAGAACATGGAGTGACCATTCAAAAATAAAAGAAGACAAGGACAAGGGCAATGAGTAGTGGAATATTTAACATTGCATGTTAATTCAAATTGTTAAAAGCTCAAGTATATAGGTTTTTCCACTTTATCATATACTACTAATTACGAAGCTCAAGTTTAGCTATAATGTGAGACTTCCAAATAACATTGCCTCTACATGAGTTCTGAATGAAATTAGGCTTTGATATCATTTTTCTAACAAGTGGGAGCCAGGAGAAGAAAACAAATAGGCTGTGAGTAGTGGAATTGAAACTGCATCTCAATTCAAAACTTGCTTGAGTTTATATATCCTTTCACTTTATTATACACTACTTATTAAACTCAATTTTATCCAATGTAAAATTTACCACATCGTCAACTTAAGTCTATTCAACTTCGACATCCTAACAATAACAATATAGTATATACCTTGTATTGTTTTTATTGATTAAAAAAAGGCTAGTGGCAAAATCTAAGTATTAATGTTAAAACTTAAATTTTTTACAGATGCTTGTTTGAAAGATTGTACTTTGATCGGAGCCGACCTAAGTTTTGCACTTTTACAGGTTAAACATGGCATGAGTTATGAGTAATGTCATTCTTCTGAAAACTTTATTGTGTAAATATTATTGATGGATCCCTGTGTATTATATTGTTTAATTCCTGGTGGATTTCACCATTCGTTATCTTTTTATATGCTTATTAGTTGTAACAAAAAATCATCTCTCTCTTGAAACACATGAGGATTGCATTATCCGTTTATTAATTAGTATCTTCATCTCAGAATGCAGATCTTACAAATGCCAATCTAGAGGAAGCTGACCCACGAGGAGCTAATTTAGAGGTATGGATATTCTGGATCTCAATGTGCACATTTACAATAGTGAGGCATTACCTAGAGAGTGTGTAGATAGCATATGGAAATTGAATGGAGGAACATTGAAGCAGAGTGCACTCAATTTTTTGACTTTCTTTTCTAATATCTCTATCACTGTTGCAGTCACTTTTCGTTTTCATTGTTTTCATCCTCCTGGTTTATTTCTGGGAACTTTTAAACTATAATTTTTTTATCACTTTTTAATGTAAATTAATCCTTTTATACTAAAAAGATGTATAATTTAATTATTCATTCATTAATTGAAAGCCAACTGAGACCAACAAAAACATGAATTTTCTCACATAAATTGAAAAATACTTGCCACGGAACTCAAATGGATAATATATAGTCGCAGAATTTTGTCACGGCTTACCGTTCCGTGAGATAATTTGACATTATTTCATTAAAAAAGGTCCATAAAATTATTTATATGAGAATGTTTTTCATGAAGTAAAATCACAAAAAAAATGAGAAAATGTTTTCCCAATAAAGTATTTTCTATCTAGTACATCTCCTATGAGAAAATTTATGAGAATTTTCCTTTCCTTTCCTTTTTTAATAGATTTTGAGACTTTTTCTTGTTCAAGAGAGAATCACCAATGTTTTGGTACATTGCAATGAACTTAACCTACAAAACAGCGATGACAGATTTTTTTGGCAATCAAAGAACAGCAATGAGAGATAAGAGTAGAAGAGCCACAACTCATAAGAGGGATCTATTTGGTTTAGTTGTTCCCCGGCCTCAAAATTTACTCAATAGATTTTTCCCAATAAATAAAATATAACAATAACAGAGTTTACTCAATAGACTTTTTCCAAGCTTGCCACCAATGCATTAGGTTTTCAGCAAACCTAAAAATCTCACAAAAGCTCATCCTAGCCTTAGGGTTTTCCTATAAGCACACCCAGAAGAGGCTACAGAGAAATTCTTCATTATTCTCTTTCTCATGCTTGGGTGAAACTTTGGGAACTAATATGCATTGTCAAAAATTTTATTGTATTTAGTTTTTGTTTTGCTGTTTTTTTAATAACTGGACTTTTGTAATGTATTTTAGGGTGCAAAGTTGGACAATGCCAATATGAAGGATGCAAAGTTAAACTAATGAGCTTTCCTTTAGGACAGTAAGTAAATGCAATAACATATTTTAGGTTTATTTGAGACTAATCATTGTGATGAAATTGTATTTTTCAAAATTCCAATTCCTCACAATAACAACAACACCACCACCACCACCACCACCAGCAGAGAACTTCCACATTAAAAACCTAACTTTTTCAAGAGGCAATATTTGATCTTCTAGATGCCTATATACATCTCTGATTTCCATCAGGCCTTTAAATCAATTGCTATTTTATTTTTTAACAAGAGCCAACACAAATAATTTACATAAATTGATTTCCTTTTATAAGTTTGAACTTTTTTAATTTAATATAGTATGATATAGAAAAGATAGTATATAAATGTTCCTTTTTCTTTGGTAAAGTGTTTCATTTTGCAATAAAAAGTCGGTACTAATTTATCCAATAAGAAAGAAGTTTTTCTGAAATTTTTTTTTCAAATAACCTTCTATTGCCTATGATTTAAGTTTTTCTTTTTTCTTTTTTGGCTAACGATTTATGATCTGTGGGCAGATTGCGCTTGTGAAGAACCAAAAATTAGACTCAACGTTGATGGAATAAATAGATCAGATGAGGCATTGGGTCCCTTAATGAAGGGCTCTAATTAGATACTTGAATCACTCTCATGTGTGTCTTTTTAGAATTTGTTATGAATTTTTAAATTAAAGTTAGCCCAACATTTTGACTTTTGAAATTGCCAAATTAATAATAACGAAGAAGGTATTTCTAATAAGTGAAGTTTGAAGGTTTTTTATGCTCTTATAAGGACTCCATTATTGTGCCTTGAAGACATAGAAAATTATTACTTAAGTAAAATATGGATGTTTTGTGCCTTCTAATAATCTTGATATAGCTTATAATTGTTTATAAATCCAGCACTATCAATTTCCCACATTTTTGAAATAAAAATTGAATATTTGCTTAAAATCATTTAAATAATTCTAAATCCATTAAATTAATTTATCATTATAACATTAAGTTAATTTGTTTAAGTTTCTTTTATTTATTATTATTTATGTTTGTTATAACGAAAAATGTTTTAGTGTAATGACAAAAAATTATGTGTTTTAATGTAACGAAAAGTGTTTTACATCACTTCTTACAACAACAATAAGAAGAAGAAGCAAACTTATCCCCTAAATGAGGTTAGTTACATGGATTGTATGACACTATTGTGTTTTACCACATAACTTCTTACTGAAAACAAATTTGTCATAAATAAGAATAGATTGTTATTTTCTTCAGTTAACTTGCTATATTCATACTTTATTGTAACTAGAATAATGATTTTAACTGTTTGAATGTGTTTTATTTTGTATTAAATTATAACACAAACCAAAAGGAGTGAAAAACCAATAATTTTATATTTTCAATTTCATAGTATTTTTATTTTGAACAATTTTATTCTTTTTTTTGGCCAAAAAAATGTTTTGAACATTTTTATTCACTATTGTGAATATTTTCAATTTTTTGTTACTAGCATTGTTAAATTTTACAAAAAAAAAAAAAGATGCATTAAAACATATGTTCATTATGGATGGATTGAAATCTATCTCCATTAGAGACTAATGGTGAATTTTCTTGAAAATTATTTAACTTGTTTTTTTAGGAAAATTATTTTAAAGCAATAGGGATGAAATTATTGACAAATATAAAATACATATTTATAATATATAATGGAGCTCAAAATTGTCTTTTTTTTAATGATAACAAAACTATGAGAAGTATTTTGCACCAAATGTAATTCAAATTGGAAAAAATTTTAAGATTTTATTATCATAGAATATAGGATTTTTAATTGTAAGTACTTAGAGAGTTCTTGGTGAGATTCAATTTAAAAAATGCAATAAAATTCTATTCATGAGCATAAAATACTTGAAAAGTCCCATTTTCCTAAGCAGAGGTATAAACCTACTACAAACTTAATTTAAATCCCCTAAATATTATTGTAACAACTTTCTCAAGGTTAATAATTTTAATCCCCAAAAACTCAAAGTACTGAATGGAAATATCAAGAGTGAAATAGTTAAAAATTAATAAAAGGTTTAGAACGCAGAAGTATTGAGCAAATTGAAGTGCGCAAATTTGCAAGTCAGATCCCACATTAGTTTGTATGAAGGAGCCAACCTTTTGGATTTTGCAGGATAACAAATAAAAGGCATAAAAAGGAAATTGAAGAAGAGATAGTCAAGTGTTTATTATTATTTTTTAAATAATTTTACTGCAGCTTAATTGGTGGCAAACCCAACTAAGTTTATTTTTTAAATTTTTTTAAGATATGGCTTTCGAAGTTGAACACTAAAATGAACATGAGGACGGTTTGAAATAAAAATATAATTCTCCTATTTTGCCTAATTAATTTCGCACATCGATCAGTTATAAACTAAGTATTCGAACAATTCAGGGGCACATCAGTCAAATACCATTTGTACTTCGAAAGTTGAAACATGAAGAAGTTATCAAGGGTGTGGGACATCCTCAAGGGGTAAATTTTCTGTTTGACCTTGACCTATCAAGTAAGGTAATGTATTGTTTTTTTTTTTAATTCTACAAAGATTTTTTTTAATATTTATGGCAATATATTCAAACTATAACGCACTCAATTGTGGACTTTCAGAGTTTTCCATTCATGGATTTCAGCTATGCTCGTTTTAAAGTGTTAGAATGGTGCAAACAAACCTAGATTGCACAAAATTTTTGGTAAGTAAAATTCTCAAAATACTTAGGACTTGTTTGATTATTTGTTTTTAGAATAATTTTGTTTTGAAAAAAAAACATGTTTGTAAATATGCTTTTTGCTATCTATTTTGAAAAATAAAAAAAGTAAAAATTATTCTGAAGAACTAAAAAACTAGAATATTTTGTTATTTTTTCTGCAAAAGAAGAAAAAAGGCCGAAAACATGATTATTTAATTAATGACAATTATATTAATAAAATAATTCTTTCACCTTTTATTTCACCATTTTAGATGTTTTTTTAAATAATGATTCAAATATATTTTTTCCATTTTTTTTCTCCAAAACTTGTTCTGAAAAATTACCCAGCAGAATTGTTTTAAGAAAAAAAATGCTCTTATTCTCTTCATATCTATTGTTACTTGATGTTATGAGACACATATATAGATTGAGAAATATCTTGATATTTCTTATAGTTTAACAACCATCCCAAGTTTATTTGTCAGGATGTTAATGTTGAAGAATGTGTTTTCGACCGTTCAAATTTTCCCCAGTTAGTTATTCAAATCAGTACTTATAAATTTAGTCACTCAAATTTTTGTGTTAATTTTTTCAATCTATTACATTTCATTCGTTTTTAGTAATCAAATGTGATCTAAAAGTTTATCACCAGACCATTAATTATACATGCTTGAATGAAAACCGAAATCTAATAAAGAATGTTCCTGATTGAAGATTTGCTTTCTGATAATAAATCTGGAATGAAGTTTGTTGTTGAGATCAAGCGCCACACTTACTCTAGCAAATTTACCTTTCATTTCTACTCCCATATATATATATATATATATATATAGTTGGACTATCACAAAATAAATAACATTTTAATTTTATTCCTCAATCATTTTTGTTTTAAACTAAATTTTAATTATTAAGATGCTTTTAACTATGCTCAAACATGACAATGAAAATACTTTAGAGACCATAATAGTGTTTGTTTTTTCCTGGTACAATTTGAAAGATTCAATTCTTTGGTTGATATCGCGAAGTGCCCTTTTTAAATTCCTATATTTTTTGTGGGTTTGATTTTATGGATATATTTTCCTGACACTTAATATTACCAGTCAGTAAGCGATTACGGACAAATCTGTTGAGGAGACTATGGTTTCAATCATATCAGAGAATTTTCCCTCGCATGCAATGCAAGTATATAAATTGTCTTATTTTTACAGAATTTTTATCTATTTCTTGGAAATTGAAGAAGAAAATGATTTATCAAAGAATTCTTTAGTACATTTTTTGTCTAGATTTTCAACAAAAATTGCAGTTATGGAGTGGAAAAGGACCGGAAGTGTACAGAAAAAAATGCAGAGTATGTTAAGCTTTCTAATGTATTAGGATTGGGTGAGCAACCTAATTACACTCAATCAATGATATAGTCTCAATTATAATCATTAGATTTCATCAATATTTGAAAACTATCAAAATATATTTCTCTCCAAAAATTCAAAACAATCTTCACAATTAGAACACTTCTTACTTATTTTGTCTCCTCCAAACATTTTAAATTTGATACTTTATGAGTATTATATGATAAAATATTTGACTGTTGTTCAATTAAATCAAACTATTGTTATCGTGCCACATAAAGTAATAAGTGAACTTAAACCACTTATCTGATGCAAATCCCATTTGGGATCCTATAGTCAGACAAAAAGCTTTATCACTAGTATTTTACTCACACTGCTGTAACTGGATGTTTATTTTTGGTCTAGAACTAGAATCTTGTAATTTTGGAATCATTTTTTGTTTTTATTTTAGGTAACAATTATACGGCACCCTCTTCATTGCTCTTCTGCAAAATGACAGATCAGTGAGGATCTCTGTTGCCACCTGGTTGCGTGTGGAATGGGACATTATCGTTACTTGTGTCTTAATTAGTACTCCCGTGCATTGCGGGATGTAGAATCTAGTTTTTTTTTTTTTAGTGAGCTTTTTTTTTTTTTCCTTTTTTTCAACTACAAGAAGTTGTAATTAAAAGTTGTAGTATAATTTTGCACTCAGATGGTGGTTCATCAAAAGTTGTAGTATTAAAATTATCATCAGAAGATTGTCAGGCAAACCAATCCACACATTTATTAGTTTCTCTATCCATGTTCTTAATCTCTCATGACAATATCCCTAATCTTGTCAAGGGGATGGTTCATGGCCAGGTTGCTCTGAATGATTGCTCTGACTTACTATAGTGAGCTTTCTTTTTCTTCTTTACGTGCATGCTAGCTATAATGGCTATATTTTATATGCGAGCATTCTGTCTGGGTTATACTTTTTCTGTTTGTGATTAAACACCATGGTTATTTAATGCTCATTTAGCCATAATTTAGTTGATTCATGATCAAGTATGGTTACTATGATTATATTGCAACAACATCATTAAGCATTCAAGTATGAGTTTGGATTATATAAATTTACTGAGGTAGACACTTATGTTGTGGCAGAAATTAATCTAATAAGAATAATGTTCTAATAGTATGACAAATTACTTAAGCATGAATAGTATGAAACGTTTTTACTCGTGTCATAATAGTATATGGGTGCTAACATTTTTTAATTTACTAGATATCAGTATCATCATTACTTGTGACTTAATTAGTACTCCCGTGCATTACAGGGATACAGAATCTAGTTTTTTTTTTTTTTAATAAAGACACTTCCTTTGACATTTTTGCCTGTCCTGTGCGTGTTAATTAATAACAAAACCCAATGGCGTATCACATTCTCTCATATTATTATTATTATTATTATTATTATTGAAATGATCTCCAAAAACCGTGGTGTGAATTGTCACCCCCTGGTACCAACGGTATGACTAGCATAAAATATGAGATAAACTCGCATTTCATAAGCTTAATTAACCAAATATTAAGCTATAATTTATATAAAATTATATATTTATATATAAATTTTATTTAATTTAAAATTTAGGATCATTATATTATCATTCATAATTAACAAGTAGACATTCATTCATGAATAAGTTACAAGAACTAATAGGCCTAGTCTAA